TAGCCAGGATCATACCGTATATGGCTACATAAAGAAAATACTTTGGAGTCCTCAAGAAGCATTACTTATCTGGGCAACCTCCATTGCCCTGCCCTCCCCCCCCCCTCCCCCCCCCCCCCCCTTTCTTATCCCAATCTTTCAAAGATAGGCTTTAAATGTTTTGCAGCTGTCCAACATTAAGGCTGAAGAATTCAACAACCATGGCTGCGTAAAAGCACAGGGTGAAAAGCAACTACTACTTTATCCAGGAATTCAGGACCAGCTACAGTTCCAGAAGAGGTTCCTGACTGCAAACTTCTTTCACAAAATCTGGATAAGGTTCCCAAAAGCAGATAAGCCTGTAAAATTATTCTTTCTTCCTTCCAGATAATTCTTCAAAGGAGTTTCTACCATATAAACTAGTGCAGACTGTGCATAACTGCATTGAGTTTTAGCCAACCTCTCTCACAGCCAAAAATATCAACCACCACCACTGCACACATTTTCTTACTGAGATTTTCAGAAGGTCTGCATAATCTTATAACCATGAAGTTAGTGAGCCATTTCATATTTCCTGAAACTAAACTGCACATTAGATGATTCACCAATTAGTGTATTCATGAAGCTTTAAAAAGCAATCAAAATTTCATTTTTGTTGAAAAATTTAACAGAGATGTCCAGCTGTATGCATGGAGAGAGCATGTGGGCTTTTCTCCTTTATTTAACTTAACTAACAGCTACGTTAGCTGGTGAAAAATATTCAGTGTGTCAGAGTTAATTTATAGAGCTGACAAAGTATAAGGGCTCCAGAAGGTATAGCATACATTTACTAAACTTTAAATACAATATTTTAACTAGATATAGCTCAAAGATTAAAATAAGCTGTCCAACAACCAAACCACACAAATACATATCGTTTCAGGGCACTTATTTAATGGAGCAATTGCATGTTTGTTTCAAACTAACAACATAGGTTAACAGTATCAGAAAAGTTGATAATTATTCTGACCCCAAACCCCATAAATCAAAATGCAGTTTTTTAAACTAGGCAGACATCTTTAAAAGACAGCTGGCATCTCAATACAGTGCAGGCCATGATCAGATGGAGGGGAGGCACTGCATGTTGCTCAACACAACCAGACCTTGTGGCCTTAATGAAGCCTCTAGGCATAAATACCACAACATAATACTAAGTGCTAATTTCCCCTTAAGGTTGAAGAAACTACCAAGTATAGCTCCTGGGGAAACATGAGGCAAGGAAACCTGCCTAAAATAGACAGCTACTCAAGAATTACTTAACTAGCCAGCCTATTCCAGTATTTTGGAGTAAAAAAATCAGTATTTCAGGAGTTTATGGTGAAGCCTTTACATCAAAAATTCTTTCTGTCATTCTACAAAGTCATGAATGTACTTTCTAGTGAAGAAAAAGGTATCCTGTTTAGATTTTTACATTTGTTTTCACTATTTGTAGCATAAATGAAACATTGCCACCTTATATCTTAAGAATAAACAAACTTACTGTATGGAAGTTACATAGAGTCCTCTGAATTCCATGAAGTATCTATTTAGCAGCAGGCTACCACAGGACGAGGTGATTTACAAGTATTAACAACAGTCATCATCATCCTTTGATTAGACTAAAATACATCCCTTACTTGTCTTTACACATAATGAATGAGACCAGAAAAATGCACGTTATACTATCTTGGGTTATTAGTCCATCTGGGAAACACATGAATTGCCACAAATTCGATGAACAATCATCTCTTTAGAACCTTGCTGCAGAGTGACAGGTTTCACATGTTTAAAAGAAGATTAAAAAAACCTTTCTAACAGAGCACAGTTGATTTCTAATCCCTTCCATCTGCTCTCTCTTTTTTAGATGTACCTGCCATCATTAAAAGAGCAATAGAAGAGAAATTCTAGATATTCCTCCAAAGACTAACCCAGCCATTTTTCTAATGCTCTCATACATATGAAGTCATGTCAAGCTACTGCATGCTACCCAGCTGTCTGAATCCACTAGTTGGTTGTATTACTAATGCAATTCTGAAACCAGAGTAGATGCAAGACATTTACACCAACTAGAAAATCAGAACAGATTTCAGCAGCTCACTGCATCAAGTCTGAAAATTATTCTGTTTTCCCTTTTTTGTAGTTTGCTTTGGATTGATAATGAACACATGCTAGAAGTATAGCTAATACTTCTAATTACTTCTTTAAGTAGATGTAATAAGAATATACATATATAGTGTATTAGAAGTATACCAAATACTTCTAATACACTCTGCTATAGTTATTCATGTACAAAGCCCACAAAAATAATTAAATCTGTCTTGACAGAAACCCTATCATAGCATAGCTAAGGCTACTGCTTTGATACCAGGTCCACTTGAATATCTTGGTTTACAGATTGACAAGCGAATGAATTAGGAGCTTATTAACTTGGAAACTTGCCTTCCTTCAGTATCTCCCTGTAGCAGCCACATAAATCAGGAATATTCAGGGTAACAGGGGTTATATTTAAGCTGAGGGCTGCACGACATCTCCAGCAGGAAGCCCTCAACAGCACAAACCTGCACCACATGAGATCTCAAGGCGTATGAACCACACCTTGAGATTTCTTTGGGCATAACACAATTTAACTACAAAACTGCCCTAATGTCATCTGTGTGCATAGTGGCCCATGGGAGATTTGAACTCGGACAAAAAGTTGTGAGATCTCAGTGACTGAGGCAAGTGGCATTTGGAGGCTATGATGTACTCCATGGTCATTACTTAGTGACACAACCTCAACTTTCCTTCCTGAAATAGACTTATGAAAGGACATTCCATCTTTCTCAATAATTCGCTGGACTCAAAACTTCTGGTGCCCATAAATTAGAATCTCCATGTTGCACAAATATACTTTGTGGGGTGGAATGAGACTAAAAAGTCTCTTTCGTAGGAGTATTGTACCTTGGAGTAACATCCCTAAACTGAAGTTAACCAGGTTTACATGAAGGAAAATTAGGAATTACACTCTCATTTTATAATCCTGTAATAAAAATAGAAGCACTTCTAGAAAGGCACATTAAGACACTGATTCTGTAACAAAATTCACACTAAAGGGTCCAGCAACTGAACAATCTCCCTCTAGTATTGGGTTCTAACTCATATGATATTAACAAAATTATTACAGTGAAACTACTTTAAAGCTACATTTTAGATAACACACTTAACACCCAGTAAAATATTTCCATTGTACTTGCAACCACAGAACGGTCTTTTTTGCCTTTCACCCAGAAAGGGGAAAAGTGCCCTGAAATGTAATTTCTCATCTCTAAAGGAATTTTAAGTTTAAAAAATAACTACAGGAAAGATGTAAGATGTTAAGATAAATTCAAAACTCAAAAAACCAGAACACTCAAATGTATTTAGATAGGCACGAAAATGCAGCTTAGTCTTCCGCACAATGTTTTAAAGACAAGAAGAAAAACTCTCAAGATTTTCACTCTCATCTTGATATCCAATGCATGTACTTAGTTCACCTGTTTTCTGAAGGAGGCAGATCAATTTAAAACGATAACCAGTCAACTTCCCTACAAATTTATGGAATGTATTTATTTTTAACTGAGGTTATATAAATGCAAGCTTCAGTAGTACTTTCCATTCATACCACCTCCATGCAAATAGTTCAATTGGGCCACATCTATCCCCAAAATATTTTCTTATTATAGGAGTATAGCGCACCAACTAAGCACTCCTGAAGCTGTTGCAAATTTATGTGAGGAAATCCATGCCTTGACCAAACTCACAATACTGGAATTCATATAATACTAATTCATACTGGAATTAGCTTCAGTGGAAAAGCTCTGTATTTGTCATAAGAGGGTTTATGTGGCATGGTCAGGGATCACACCTCACGTGATGCGATACGGTACCCCAACATGATGATTAGCCTAAAATTTATAGCTTACAATCGCAGAAACATTGCAGAAAACGTCAACAAGTTTTAGGAGACAGAAGGGGGGAGGGGAAAAAAAAAAAAAAAAAAAAAAAAAAAAAAGAGAGAAGCATTCTGTAAGTACTCAGGGAATGAAAGTGTAACTCGTGCACATGCTGTTCATAAGAGTACATGATCATATGACACACAAAACTGATGAAACAAACATATCAGAAACATAAATGTATTCCACGGGATTAAGCTATTGTGATTCAGTGCAAGTATTGAATCACAAAGTTAACAACAGCAGAAATAACACGATTTACTGCTTCTACAGTTCTAAGAAACTGTTCATAACTTTGAGTCAGATGCATATAAAGACGACTTGCAAACTTTTATGAGCGCTCACGAGGGAAACAGCCGGCGCTTAGCGTATCACCCTCCACAGGAAGGGTTAACGGTAGGTTGTGTGCCCTGAAGACTCTTTAATGGCAATTTTGCAAGGCTGATTTCCACACCCGCGCGCAAGCACAACTCCAGGAGACCGCCGACCGAACACCCCCCCACACCCCCCGCCTGCTCCTGCACCAGCTCCCAGCGCGCCGCCAGCCCCCGCGGAGCAGCGGCCCGGCGCTGCCTTCCCGCCGGCTGCCCGACACCGGCCACCCCCGCCCGCCCGCCCGCCTCGGGGCAGGTTTCAGCCCGGGCCGCCGCCGGGCTCCCCTGCCAACACCAGCCCCGGCTGCCCCCGCCTATCTCGGGAACGCGGCCGGCACCGAGCAGCGCTGCCTCCCCGCTCCCGCCCCAGGGCGGCCTTCTCCCCCCCGCCGGCTCCCCGCCGCGCCCCGGCCCGGCCGAGCCCCGCGGCGGCAGCCCGCAGCCGAGCCGTTCCCCGCTCCCGCTCGGGCGCTGACTGCCCGCGGCCGGGAGACGGCGGCAGCTCCCCGCCTCCCTCCCGGAGCCGCGGCCTCGGCGGACAGTAGCGGAGCCGGGGCCGCGGCGGGGAGCGGCCGGCTCCGGCCGCCGGGGGGCGAGCGGCGCAGGTCCCGCCCGCCGAGCCCGAGCCCGATCGCGATCCCCGGCCGGCGGCACCTACCGCTGCGCCGCGTTCGGGACAGCGACGCCTCAGCGCCGTCCCGGCGGCCCCACCGGCCGCAACATCCTCCGCCGCCCCGCCCGGGCCCGCCGCCTGCCGCTCGGCGCGGACGGCACGATCCGGCGGAGCCCCCTCCCCGGCCCCCCTCCGCCGAATGGAAAATAGTTCCCCGGGCCCCGGAGCGGGGAGAGCGGGAGCGACACCTCGCTAGCCAATGAGAGCCGCCCTGGCCCGCCGCGGCGCCAATGGGAGCGGCAGGCTGGCTGGGGCGGGGCGTCGCCCAGCCTACCGGGCCGCGGCGTTCGGGCTGACCCGCTAGGATGTCTCCGACTCGCCTCCATTGACGACCATCTTGGAGTCGGGCACGATGCCCAATCTGGGAAGGGTCTGGCCCGCGGCCATTTTGGGTTCGGGCGAGGGGCGCGGGGCGGAGCTGGGTCACGTGAAGGGGGCCGGCGGGAGGAATGGGCGAGGGGCGGGGTCCGGGCCGGTAGGGCCCGCAGCCAGGCCGGCCTTCACCCGGTGGCACTCGGCGTCAGAGCGGGAGCGGCGGTGGCGGCCAGTGGCGGGCCGGCGGGAGCCGCCCCGCCCCGCCCCGCCCCGCCCCGCTGCGGAGGCCGAGGGCCTCCCCGCGGGCGCCGGTTAAGCCGTGCCGGGCGGGCCTGGCCGTGGGGGGCAGCCCCGCACCCCGCGCGGCCCCAGGGCGGCAGCGCCTCGCTCGGCCTCCGAAACCGCCCCGAGCGTGGCCCTCGGCAGTTTTGAAGAAGCGTTCAGAGCAGCTCCCCAGGGTGGTGCGTGGGGTTTATTTTTCCTTTTTGAAAGAGGCGGCTCCACGGCTGCTGCGGCGGCGGCTCGTCCCGGTGACGCCTCCAGCTGCACTAGCGCTGGATTTGAAGAAGTCAGACGGCTCCCTGTAAGCAGGAGGGACTACTAAATGCCTACAAATTGAGGCTCTCGGAGGCGCGTGGGCATTGTTGGGAGGGAGGAATATGCCATTCAAACCAGCTTCCTTTTCCCCCATAAAATGGGGAGCAAAGTCAGTGCTTGTTAAAAGTGTAGGTGAAGTACCTTGGATCGTGTCAGACAAACAAATCGGTCATTGCTGCACCAGTACAAAAAGACAACTTGGTGTTCCGAGTAACAGAGCGCATCTCATCTTTCTGCACCTAGCAGACAAACTGGGATGCTACAGTACGGAGGCTGGACAGTTAGATGGAAAAAAAAAAAAAAAAAGTATTTTTTCATCAGACTTGGAGGCTAGGGGTCAATGGGTTGCACTCTATTGGAAGCCAGTAGCAAGCAGAGTACTGCAGGGGCCAGTTCTGTTTGACATCTTCCTCAGTGACTTTTGAGGAGGAGGTGGAGTACATGCTCATCAAGTCTGCAGGTGATGCCAAAGTGGGACAGTGGAAATGTTGGAAGACAGAGCTGCCATTGAAAGGGATCTAGACTGGTTGGAGGAATGGCCTGACAGGAAATCTATGAAATTTAACAAGAACACAGGCAAGGAAATTCAACAAGTCAAGCATCTGGGAAGGAAGAGCCCTCTGCAACAGTACGGGCTGGGGACTGGTGGGCTGGGGAGCAGCTTTGTGGGAAAGGACATGAGGTGTTGGTGGGCAGCAGGTTGGCCATGAGCCAGCAGTGTGTCCTGGCAGCAAAGGAGGCCAAGAGCTCCTGGGTTGTACCACCAGGAGCATAGCTAGTAGAATAGCGTGTCCAGTTTTGGCTCCCCGAATGTAAGAAAAACCTCAGCAAACTAGTGAGTTCAGTGGAGGCCACCAAGTTGTCCAGGAGAAGCTGCAGCACTTGCCTTGTGAGGAGAGGCTGAGGTAACAGGTTTCATTCAGCTTGGAGATGAGACAGCCTCAGAATACTTCTGCATACAGAACACAGCCTAGCATATGCATTACCAGCAAAAACCCCAAAGATTAAATAATACACTGTATAAGCAATTCTGCACCTTGGAAGAGGATGAAAAATATAATGAAACATACATAATTGATGTTAGTTGCGTTCAAAATGATACTGATGAGGCCAATGTGTGAATTTACATTTCCAGAACAGGGTAGCACTCATGAAGGATTAATGTGCACCCAGCGCAGATGCAGCAGAATTGCCACTTGGCAGTCCTACATAAACAGTGCAAGAAAGAATGAGCTAACAAGTAGTAACAACAGGCGAAATAAATATAGAACAAGGATAGCCAGGATCTAGTTGGTCTAACAGTTCAACAAGGAGAAATGAAAAGTTTTGCACCTGGGGAGCAAGAGCCCCCTGTGCCCATACATGCTGGGGGCCAGCTGGCTAGAATACTGCTTGCAGAGAAGGACCCGAGGGTCCTGGTGGACACCAAGTTGAACGTGAGCCAGCAATGTGCCCTTGCCACAGAGAAGGATGACAGTATCCTGGGCTGCATTAGGAGAAGTGTTGCCTGCAGGTCGAGGGAGGTGATCCTTCCCCTCTGCACTGGTGAGACCATACCTGGAGTACTGTGTCCAGTTTTGGGCTTCCCAGTACAAGAGAGGTATGGAGCTACTGGACAGAGTCCAACAGAGGGCCGCTAAAATGATTAGAGGATTGGAGCATCTTTCCTATGAAGAGAGGCTGGAAGAGCTGGGACTGTTTAGCCTGGAGAAGAGAAGGCTCAGGGGATGTCATCAATGTATATAAGTATCCAAAGGTAGGATGTAAAGAGGACAGAGCCAGACTCTACAATGGTGCCCAGTGACAGGACCAGAGGCAACAGGCACAAACTGAAACATGGGATGTTCTGCCTGAACATCAGGAAACACTTTTTCACAGTGAGAGTGACCAAGCACTGGCACAGTGTTGTGGAGCCTCCAGCCTCGGAGATATTTGGAAGCCATCTGGACATGGTCCTGGGCAGCCAGCACTTGCTGACCCTGCATGGTCAGGGGAGGTTGGATGAGATGACCTCCAGAGGTCCTTTCCAACATCTACTATTCTGTGATTCTATAATATTTAATAACACCACATCACCTGGAAGCTTTTGCTTCAAAAGCATCACTTATCACTTACGATGGTTTTGGCTGGGATAGAGTTAATTTTCTTCATAGTAGCTAGTATGGGGCTGTGTTTTGGATTTGTGCTGAAAACAGCCTTGATAATACAGGGATGTTTTAGTTGCTACTGAGCAGTGCTCACACAGCATCAAGGCCTTTTCTGCTTCTCGCCCCATCCCACCAGCGAGCAGGCTGGGTGGCACAAGAATCTGGGAGGAGACACAGCTGTGACCAAAGGGATATTCCATACCATACAGTGTCATGCTTAGCAATGTAAAGCTGGGGGAAGAAGAAGGAAGGGGGGGACATTCGGAGTGATGGTGTTTTGTCTTCCCAAGTCACTGTTACGCGTGATGGAGCCTGGCTGTCCCGGGTATGGCTGAGCACCTGCCTGTCAGTGGGAAATAGTGAATGAATTCCTTATTTTGCTTTGCTTGCGTGTGCAGCTTTTGCTTTAGCTATTAAACTGTCTTTATCTCGACCCACGAGTTTTCTCACTTTTACTCTTCCAATTCTCTCCCCCATCTCACCAGGGCGGGGACTGAGTGAGCGGCTGGGTGGTGCTTAGCTGCTGGCTGGGGTTAAACCATGACACTTTTTTCTGCAGTTACCCAGTGCTGACTCCACTTGTATAAAAGTTCCATAAGTCAATTTTAACTTCAACTTGTAGGCTGTTTCCCTTTTTAATTACTTCTGTAGCAAACTAGCATTCATTTTTATTTCTAGTATGTGGTAAATATTTTTATGCTAGATACTTACAAATTTGTCAGAAGTATAAAGTTTTAGTGACATAAAATTCCATGCTATATCTCTTCTTATTGATAGAGAAAATCCTCTTGATGTTACCATTTTAGTCAGCGTTAAGGTTCAGCAACGGTCATCATCTAGTGAAAACACCTGCCATTCTGGTCTGCTACTTGGGCAAAGAACTAGTAACTGAATAGAGGGAAATAATCAACTGCTTTGTTCTTACTACCGTATGTTTCACCTTGGGGATCTAATGCTAGGATGGAGGAAACAAAAGAAAATAGGCTGCTACTTGCTATAAACAAGAAGAAAAATTCCTAGCACCAGAAGAGCTAGGCTGTAGCCAGAGCCCAGCAGGATGGAGACTCTGCAACTGGTGGTTATCATCCCCAGGCTTCACTAGCCTGACCTGCACAGCTGTGGGATCGACTTAGATTTTGGGAGGAAGGACTGGTGCAAGGGACCAACAGACCTCAAAGCATGATGCTACTTGCTGTGGTACTTCTGTACTAATGTGCTGGTATGGACATCTGAAAGAGCTGTATCAGTAAGACTCTGAGAAGGATATGAGAAAGCCATGGGCAACTGTGGATGCTCCAAACTATGAGGCTCCAATTAGTCTGTTGAAAGAAATCAGATCACCTTCTTTCTCAGCATGTGCACACACCCTTGAATGCAAAGCAGTTCTCTGGGGAAACATCTGGGCAATCCCTTTTTTCATAAGGCAATTCATTTTCCCAGCGGAGGGCAATGATCCATTCATTGTGGGAGGACAAGAGGACACTGTGAGGAAACAGGGCTTGGAAGAAGGTGATCAGAGGCTGGAAACTGAGCAGGCTGCTACCTCCCACATTGGCCTGCTTTCATCTTTCAATGTTTATTTCCCGGGCATGGTGCCAGCTCCTGTGTGTGCTGCCAACAATGCAGCGCAGCACTGCTGGGCATGCTGTGCACAGTGCCCTCAGCCTGCCACTCCTGGGTGACACTGCCCACTTTCTGTGCTATCAACCACCGTGGTTGCTTCACCAGCTCTGAGCTGCTGCACTAACTGCATCTCCCTAGCCCAGCTCTGCTGGATTGTTGCTTCTCAGTGTGTCCCTAACTGGTTCTGGTTCTGCATGAAAAATTTCCTGACCATTGCAAGCCCTGCAGTTCTGGCTCCAGGCACTTTCTCCCACTCCCTTCACCAGGGTTTACCCTCTCTGCAGCCTACAGAAATTAGGAGAAAGCAAATGCTGGCATAGACCTTAAATAAAACTTTCTAATTCCAAATGAAGCTTCATAAAGTTTGATGAAATTTGTGAAGGCACATGTTTTCCCCTCACTCTTAGCAGCAGCATCAGTCACATACCAAACCTCAGTGTGTCAGGAGTTGTAAAATCAAACTGT